CTACATTTGAAGTATTTGGGGCTGTAGTCTTGACAGCCTTGACACGCGAAGACTTAAAGCAAGGTGACTTCTCTCGCAGAAAAAAGGGGGAGCTTTCTTTCCCGAAAAACGCATCAATAACTACTTCACTCCGCAGGCTTCGCATTTTTGTCCCATGCCTCCGACAGCACTTTCAGGCAGGCACTCACCAATTTTTTGGAGGCCTCCAGAGCCCGACCATCCAGCAAGGGATGCCGCGCACGCCACATCCTTGGCCCACTTGCGCTTGTCCTCGCACAGCCACTTGTAGCTGAAGAATGCACATGAGCCACAACCTTTGCTGGAACTTGAGGGAGTGACTTCCCAGATGGCAGTCAAAGGCGGGAAGAACGCCAGAGTTCCTGGGGACAAGACCATCTTTATGGGCTTAATCTGGGCAATGATGTCAGTCTCCTGGAAGGCACGAGCGGACATAGTTGTGACGTTGTCTTCACAACCCAACTTTAGGAGCTCATCTCGCAGCTTCATGAACGGCATGTGGAGAAGCGTCATCTCACCCTGGATCCCATGGCGGAAGCATGGGAAATCAGTTATCTGCAGGGCCAGCTGGTTGTCCTTCACAGCCACGAAGCAGGGGTTAAGGAAGCCGCAGTGCCTTGTGCTTGGCCTCGTAAACCTTGACAAGATCCGCAGAGAGGTCCCCGACACGCATGTACGTTCTGCCCCTGCTTTTGAAAGGCTCCGAAGCAGGAAACTGCGAGATGAAGAGCGCACAATGGCTTCGAAAGGGCTCTGTCTGGCCGATCTTCTCCACGGCGGGGGCGTCCAAGAAGCGGCACGCGCTGTCAAAAGCAATTTATCTGCTGCGGCAAAGTCTTCCACGGGCATGTCCAAGGTGTCCTCCTTGGAGGGGTTGATGAAGAAGTCCGACTTGGCCTTCTTGGCTTTGGCAGCCTCCGCAGCCGCGGTTTCTTCATTTGCTTTACGTTTTTTTTGTTCCTCGGTCTGCTGCTTGCGCTGCTCATTCTCGGCTTTCTTGGCTGCCGCCTTAGCCTTTCGCTGCGTCTCCTTGAGCGCCTTCTGAACACCGGTAAAGGACGAGGTCAAGCTCTTACCAAACAGCTCCCAAGCCTTCAGCATGCCCTTGATGTTCTCAACTTCTTCAGCCAGCTTCTCGTTGGTTCCCACCTTCTTCAAAACATCAATGGCCGCGAAGATGCTGGTCTGGCACCGCAGCAAGTCAGGAACTGGCGCAGGAGACACATCCAGGCTTGCCATGGCACCCTGGATTTTCTTGTCCTGATCTCCAGCTGCTTCCTTGCCCAAATTCAGGAGCATCTCGGCCAACTCGAGCTGCTTGTCAGCAATCGCCTTGAACTCCTTGTCCAAATCGCTGCTGACCACCATGTGCAAGGCCTCAAGACTCAAGAGCACTGCAAAAAAAAGTCACGACATTGGGCTAAGGCTGAGGTTGGGTCAGGGTCTTCACTCACTCGCCGTCAACATGCTCGTCTCGTTAGTAGAGACTCAGCAAACTTCAGCAAGCACGCCTAGAGAGACAACACCTACTATAGCAAACTTAGCAAACGTCGCGCTGAAAGATATTCCCCAGCCCGCCTCCTTCTGGTTCTTTGATACGACTGGTTCACAGCGGATGTGAAGGAGCTCTTTAAGTCTTCCCGCGTGCGAAGGCGATGGACCATCAAGTCAGAAAGAGACGAGTTGGCAGGAGTGCCACCGGCTGGCCCAGGCGAATTGGACGAAGCCGCGCTTGCGCCAGAGTTTCGGCGCTTGGGAACTGCCTCCCTCATCCTGTCACGGACTTCCTTATCTCCGTCCTCATCAAAGAGTGGCGCATTCCAGTCAGCAGCACTGCTGTTGGCGCGCAGCTGATCGGTGCCCTTCTCGTCATCCAGCAAGCTTCCATCGTTTGCAGACTCCTGCAACACACGCCGCTCGTTCTTCTTCTCGTTGAAGCCTTGGACGAAGTCTGAAACCTTGACCAGCGCCCGCTCGGGGTAATCTGGATTGTCGCCGAGGCGGTCGTGCACGCCGTACTTCTGGACCGCATCCTGCCATTTGGAACGGATCTGCTCAGCACTGAACTTCTTCTGCGCATAGAAAAGCTCGAAGCCAAACCAATCGAGCTTCTCCATTCTAAATCCTTCCTGGGTCACCTTGGCGGTACTCAAGATGTGCTGGAGGCGGGTCTTGGAGTACGCTGCCCGAGGCACCCCGCGGCCTTTTTTCGGACAGGT